ACCCTGTGCCTGCTCTTCCCTCTCTGTCACCACGTAGGACTCCACCATCCACAGCAAAGGGCAGTGGATCCTCCTGCCAGCACCCCTGGACACCATCAATGTCCATGTCCGTGCAGGGCACATCCTGCCCCTGCAGGTGAGTCCCTCTGCTCCGTGGTGACACCGTGGTGACCTGCCTGGCCAGCCTAGGGTGGTGGCAGTGCCGTCACCGCAGAGCAGACAGTGCCGAGGGAGCCGTGGCTGCACTCTCCGGGGGACGTGGCTCCAGCAGTGCCCTGAGCTGTGCCCTCTCCCTCGCCCCAGGAACCCGCCTTCAGCACTGCCCAGTCCCGCAGGAGGGGCATGGCCCTGGTCGTGGCACTGACCCCGGACGGCTTCGCCAGGGGAGACCTGTTCTGGGATGATGGGGAGAGCTGGGAGACCTTTGAGAGGGGGGACTACACCGAGATCCTCTTCCTGGCCACGCACGTGAGTGAGGGGGCATCTGGGCAGGGGGGTCCTGCTGGCCCTGGGGCACATGTGGTCACAGGCAGCACTGTGCCTTGGAGCAGAGCTCTGTGGTGCCAACAGTGCCAGACTGAGCAGCTGGTGGGGTCAGCATCCCCTCAGGATGCCCCCTAGGAGGGGGAGAGGCTGCTCTCCTTGCACTGTGGATGCTCTCTGGCCCCCTGGGCTCAGTGCCTGGCAGAGGGGCAGCACGAGGAGCAGGGCACCAGGGCAGCCCTGTGTGCCCGTGGGGTGGCTGTGACCCGGGAGCACAGGGTGACATCCCTGCTGTCCCCCAGGGTGCCGTGCTCAGCCAGCTGCTGCGGGGGAGCCCCCACCTCGATGGGGTCCTGCTGGAGGCTGTGACTGTGCTGGGGGTCTCCAGCCCTCCCCGGCAAGTCCTGGCCAACGGTGCCATTGTGAGTGACTTCTCCTACCGCAGTGACACCCAGGTGAGTGCTTGTGTCCCCCCGGGAGGGGGTGGTGGCTGGGAAGGGACAGGACACAGCTGAGGGGCTGGTGAGGTCTGGCCCCAGCCATGGCACAGCACCAGCTCTGTCAGCACAGGCTGGGTCACTGCTCTGGGGATGGGCAGGATTAGACCACAACAGGAGTGAGGATGGGGAGATGGAGGAAGGAAAGGCTGTGTGATAATGGGGCTGGAGCTCTGAGAGGAGCAGCAGCACAGCTCTGCTCCTGGGGCTGCCTGCCATGGATGCCCTTCTCAGGGGCTCTGTGGGATCGGGACCATGCCAGGCTGTGGCTCTGTATGGGGACAGGACACCTCCCTCGGCTCTGACACCTCCCAGGCTCCTTCCCAGCTGGCTCTGCCTGCTGCCAACCCTTCCCTCTGCCCCTCAGGTGCTGAGAGTCCCTGTGTCACTGCCAATGTGGGAGCAGTTTGTGATCTCTTGGTCCTGAGCTACTACTGGTCACAGGGAGAGGCCACGCTGCTCCCCCTGGCTCTGGGGCTGAATCCATCCCATCCCTTGACAACCCAGAGCTGCCACTGCTCTTCCCACACCACAACCCAGAGCTGCCACTGCTCTTCCTACACCACACAGCTCCTGGACTTCAGCTGCCGTGAGGTGATGGAGGTGTGTGCACTGGACTGGCACGGGGAGGGGGGGACTTGCACAACCCCCGGGGACAGGGAAAACATCATCCTCAAATCAGGGAAAAAAAGACCCAAGTGCCTTGTGAGACAGCAAACCTGTTTCTGTGGGGGACTGGTAACCTGTGGGGGGCCTGTGGGGAGTCTCCTGGCTGTGGTTTTGGGGAGGGGGATGTGCAGGGGGGAGTGAGCAGTGCTATGAATAAAGCTGCTGTTTGCTGGGAGCAGCCCCAGGCCGTGCCCGTGTCCCCTCTGCCCCTGCTGGTCCTGAACTGTGGCTCAGCCCTGTGCCCCTGGTTGGGACACCCTGGTTCCCTCCCTGCCTGGGGGTCTCCAGCAGGGCTGCCTGTGCCCCTCACAGGCTTCACCCCATTTCCCAGAGCATTGGGGGCCCCCTGGCTGCACCACAGAGCCCCTTGTCCTGTTGTCCTGCTGGCTCCAAGCCATGGGCTGTTGCAGGGATGTGCTCAGCTCCAGGGAGAAATGGAGCCCTGTCCTCCAGAAGCTTTACGGAGGGGCAGCTTGGCCCTACGGCTCCTCTGGCTGAGAGTAAAGGCACCAGGGTCCCTGAGTGCTCTGGGGCCAGGTGGTGTGGGTGATACAGAGAGCAGAGCCTCGTGGTGTCACCCAGGGATTAGGGACTGTCCGTCCGTGATCCCGCTCCACCCCCTCGTTGGAGCAGTGGGGACGGCGGCAGAGGTGACGCTCACAGCTCGTTGTGCAGTGGCCGGCACTGGGGGCTCAGCTTCTCCTCCAGGACAGCATCGGGGGCACACACCCAGGGGTCCCCCGTGTCCCACTGCCACTTGAGGAGCTGCACCCGGAGCAGCTGGAGGACGTCGGCGTAGCGGGGGTCGGGGGCCAGGTTCTGGCTCTCGGTGGGGTCGCGGCTGCAGTCAAAGAGCTCCCAGCGGTCCCGGTAGTAGTACTGGTGCAGGGTCTTGTTCCAGTGGGTTGGCTGCCCGGCCCTGGTGCGGTTGAGCAGGTCTTGGAAAGTGGGTGAGACGTAAAAGTCCTGGTCGATGGGAAAGGGCATCTTGTAGTTGAGGTTGTGGATGAGGCGGAACTGCCGGTGCTGGATGGCTCGCATGGGGTAGTACATGGTCACCTCGTGGTGGCTCTGGCTGCTGAAGGCGGTGGCCCAGGACTGCTCTGACTCCAGTGCTGGCAGGAGAGACTTTCCAGTGAGCTGCACCTGCTTTGTGCCAAAGATGCTGTAAGAGGGGTAGGGGATGGAGAACCAGTCCAAAATGGTCGGCGTCAGATCTGGAGGGGAAGAGAAGGGTGAGAGGAGGGACTGGCACCGTGGGAGGAAACAACCTGGAGAGAGGCAGAGACGTCCCTTGGGTCTGCAGCTGCATGGGCTGTGGCTGCTCCTGGGAGGAGCTGCAGAGCTGAGCCCTGGGATGCTGTCCCACAGAGGACCCTGTTCTGTCCTCCCTCCTCTTCCATGCAAGGGCTGCCCCTGGGACAAGACCCTGGGTTTTGGTGTGGGGAGCAGCCCACAGCCCCCGGGCCCAGCTCTGCAGGCACGGGCTCTTACCCAGGAGGGTGGCGAAGGCCTGGCTGACCTGCCCCCAGCGCTGGGGGTGCTCAGGGGACGAGAGGAGCAGCGGCTCGGCGGTGCCCG